TCAAAAAATAAGTTCGTTATAGTAACAACCTAGAATATCCCCACCGGCGTGCTGTCGTGTCCCCATTTTTCCCTTTGCGGGGAAGTTCGAATTTCGACATTCATGGGGGAACAACTCGTTTCCTTTTGGGAATTGGGTATTTGAAGAGTCGCCACCTAACGGATTAAGGTGCGTTAGGTCACCTAGAGCAATTAACTCATGTAACCAGTTTGCATTACTAGAGATTAGGGTAAGGGATCAAAATAACCTTAAGAGGAAGGTGTTAGGCACCCCTCGAGGTCCACAACGGTGGGTCCCGGCCAAACTTACTTTGTGAATTAGTCAATTAGCAAATAGGCAGTCTAAGCACACATATGTAAAAGGAATGAAGACTTTTAACAGATAAGCAATCTAAGCACACATATGTAAAAGGGATAAGAGAGGTCCTAAGTTGTTTACCTATAGGATCATATCCATGCAATGCCCGATAATCACTCCTCGGTGAGAGAGGTTACACGTTGCATTAGCGCACATGTCATCATATCCTTTTACTACCCATTATCCCACCCCTTAGCGGTTATATAAGCGAGTTTTGATTAACGAACTCTAAGCGTGCTGTTACCCGCCTTCCTTGTGGTCCCGGAGGAGTTTAGGACCTCTAGACTTAGGCAGTTCTAGACAATCCTAAGGTGTTTAAGGGCAAAAGTCTCGGCGACAACAAATAACACATAGGACTGTCAGTTAAGGAAGCAGATAAAAGGCTCATATTTACCTCCACTTATACATAGGCAAATAAGCAGCATGTCTCAAACAACTGATTTTTAAAGAAATTCAGAAAGCCTAGGAACATGATATCTAGATGAACATTATAGAGCAGAACATGCAGCGTTTGTTTTAAGGGGAGTGGCAGAATCCTAATCAGTTTGCCTACTGGTTTTATAGCCTGTTAAGCCTGGACAGTTTCACACATAAACAAAACCTGACTTCACAGTTATCTAAAGGCCGAAGGCTTGCCTAGGCGCGTATATGCAGTCATAATCTGGAAACAATTTGAAGTTCTTTTATCCTATAGGCATGCCGATCTAAGTGATAAAGGTTATAACAAGTGATTTTATGCATGTTTACACTAGGACATGATATCTAGGTGTTGGAGTGTTTTGAACCATTTATAGACAGTAGTTACTTATTCAAAACGACGTAGACACGGTTAGAGCCAATGCAAACAAAGTCCTAAATCAGGATTTCTAATGCACATAAAGATGATCATTTTTTATTAAGCAAGATTACAACAACAGTTTAATGACATGATTTTCAGGTGATAATAACTTATGCAAAATCAGAGAAAGAAGTGATGAACTTATAACATGTTTCTAATATGCAGAATATAAACGTGAGTGTCGTAAGGCAGGTTTCTAATGCAAATATTATAAACTTATGACATGTTTTGATGCAAGTAGCATAGCGTATGGACCTAAGGCATGTTTTTCTATCGTGACATAAACTCAAAGCAGGATGGCTGTTGCAAATATGCATATAGACTAAGGGCATGGTTATGTATCAACCTAAAGCATGGTATCTACCCAATTTCCCACAAACATCATATAGGAACCCCCCCTTTTTACTAGTTTTCTGCAATATTTGTTTACAAATAAAATTATTACAGACCAGAATCAAATGAATTACATAAGTAAATAGAAATTATGCTATAGGGAACCTAAATCAGGCTCAAAGTAAAACTGGGAATGCCAGACCTTCAACAGAATCTCAGAAGCCAATAGATCTCATAGCCAATACTGTGTGCCTTGGTGTGTCAGAGTTCCCTAAGGACCTCAAGGATCCCGGGCAGTGCTCGCACCAAGACCATTCTCAAATAGGGATTGATTATGTGCAGTGTGGAAGGGCCAGCCTGATATGCCATAGTTCAGAGAGATCTCGAGGATCCCTATGCAGTACACATACCAGAGGGGCAAAACTTAATAAAGAGTAGGGTGAGAGTGTTGGACATAGTGTTGAAAGACTTAGTAAAACAGTTAGAAGTAAAAGAGATCCAGAAACTACTTTTTTAAAAAAAAAAGATACTGGGAGTGACCAGTTTTTGAGAAGAATACTAGGAGTAAAAGCAGTAGTTTTGAAATCACCTTGAAGAAAGCATACTCAACAAACAACCCAATTGGTCATAGAGTACTCAGATTCACTCAACAAATAGACTTATAAACAAGGGTGAAGGGGATTGTGAACATATAGGGCTGAAATCACATAAAGAGAGGAGCATTTGATATAGCAAGTGTACATAACCACTAGGAGTCTACTGAATCAGGTCAATCATGGTACTAGTCAGTTAAGACATAGATAAGGGATGTAGCAGGATCATGTTGAAGACATAGAGGTGTTAAACAGCATGGGACATACAATCAAGACTAATTGAATGCACTAGAAAACTAAGTAGTTACATAGTCATACCCATTAAAAGGGAGGGGGTGAGGGAACCAAGTAAACATGCTAGGCAGGTATCAAATAAATAAGTGAAGTTAGACATGCTGATTACACATAAGGCATAACTTAGACATGCTTAATAACAGCAAACAGAGAAACAAGTTGAGTAACTAATGCAGGAATAAACATGGGTGTATAGACATAGATCACATAAGGTTGAGTTTCAGAATTTAACTAGAGACATACCAGTTAAAGAAGAAAAATGCAGAATATGAAAGAAGCAGATGCAAATCCACTGTCTAGCCTTGGCTTTCAGCCGGCTAGGCCAAGAATCAGCACAAGTAGCAAAAAAAAAGAGAGAGTGTTTGAATGTATGTGTGTGTATTCTGAACTACTGTTCGTGTATTGAACGAGCAGAATGAGAGTGTATATATAGAACTTTAGGGGTGAATCAAAATAAGGTGAAAGAATCACAGTTCAATCAATTAGGAGCAATTAATCAGTCACAGAATCAATTCCCAAAGAGGAGTCCGGAATAGACCCCTTAATTGAGGGCAATAAATTAACGGTCAGAACTGGGACTCAAATAAGGTAATAAATAAATACCATACCATATAAGGAGTCCATCAAATCCCCAAACTACTGATAACTAACTAAGGCAAGTGTAATTAGTCACAATAGGGAAACAAGTAAAAATTCCGGAAAATACTGATTTTAATCAGGAAAGAATTATTCGAATTCCCTAAAAAAAATCAATTAAGCAACAAAATCCCAAAGAATACTGGACTTAATAGGAAAATCACTCAAATCCCTAAATAAAGTCAGTTAATACGACTAGTACACAGAAATAGACATAATAGAAGAAATCAGTGTAACCATTAGAAACATCTAGGGTTCGAGCATACATACAAAGATTAACCAATTACGTAAAGAGATGAATATATTTTAACATTGAAAGTAGAAAAACCTCTTGAAGAAGAGTCTGGGAAGAACCATAATTTGAAAATACTTAAAGTGGATTGGCAATATAGAGGTCAAAGAACCCATAAAGAAAACAACCATGGAAACTTGAAAGCACTTCAAACATACAGGGATTCGAACAACAGAAGTCAAAAACCTAAAGTAGCGTAGTGCTAAAAATCGGTTACTAGTAGAGAAGTAAAAGAACCTTAAAGAACAACCATGGGAATTTGAAAACACTTCAGATGCACAGAGATTTGACCAACAAACAACAAGAAGACCAAACCCTATTATGACAAAGTGCTCAAAAATCGGTTAATCAGTAAAGAAATAAGGGAACCTTAAGGAAAATCAGTGATAAACTCGGAATCGCTCTAGATCTACAGAGGTCTGAACCGATTCAAGTCCAAACATTAGGTTTTTGAAGAAAAGAGAAAGGTTAAAGAGAATCTGGCCTTTGAATCAGAGATTTGAACCGTAAAACATCGATAGAAAGCACTCATAGACCATAGACAGACTCTTGGAGAGTTTTGAACGAGATCTGGACTAGATTTCTTCGAGGTCCTTCCACGAAATCACAACATCGAGCAACCAGGGGAAGTAGGAGACAAGTAGAGGTCTCATACAACCATGGAAATCCATAGATCGAATAGGAATCGAAGGGATTAGGGCTGGTTTTGGGTGGCGGCGGATAGGGTTAAGGTTGGATCTCAGAGAGACGGAGAGCATTAAGGATTTTAGGGCGGCTGTTTGGTGAGAATGGTTAGGGTTTAGGGGGGTCGTTTGATTAAAAAAGGTAAGAACAAATAAGGACCGTTGATCTCAAAGATCAACGACCATGATTAGGAGGGGCCTGGGTCGGGTTAGGTTTAATTGGGGTTGGGTCTTATTGGTTTGGGCCTGTTCTTAGTGGGTTAGGTCCAAAAATTAGAGAAATTAAAAGGCTATTTGTTAAATACCCAAATAATTGATAAAAAATATTTTATAAAATAATTATCAATAAGAAAAAAAAAAATTCATGCATAGAAGTGCTTTAAAATAATTATTCAATATTTTAAAAATATAATGGACCAATTTCTGGTAAAATAATGCATTGATGTATTAATGTATACATGGGCTATAATTGCAAAAATTAGTGAAATTGGAACCAAAAGGTGTAAATCTGGCCATTTGTGAAATAATTTGAACTTAATATAACTATAAATAGCAATATTAAGTCATGAAATGCTATAAAGCCATTTGTGATGCGATTTTTAATTATTTATCTAAATAAAATACTAGGATAAAATCAATTTAAAAATATTAAAATTATGGAGAAATATCAATTGATGCTAATGCATAGTTTTGAAATTATATATATACTTTAAAAAATATTATAGGGAAAAATTGGGTATCAACAGAGATCACCCAATTCCACGACCTAACAGGGAACGACACCAACCATATGTCAGGGCGGCCGCCGCACCCCCTTTCGCTATGAAAAAGGCCCGTCCAGACCAAGGAGGGGGACTCATCGGAACGAAAGAGGTATGCCTCCTTTATTATCTGCTCACAATTTTTGTGTTTCACCTACAGAAATAATCTACGCCCTTGAGAAACTCAGAACAGAAGTGAAGTGACCGCCAAAGATGAGGTCAGACCCGAACACCAGAAAGTCAGACGCCCTTTGTGAGTTCCATCAGGAACACAGGCACAAAACAGAAGATTGTGTCGCCCTCAGACAGGAAGTCATAAAAATGTTACGGCAAGGGCACCTCAAAGAACTATTAAGCAACAATGGTAGGACCAACTTCGCCAGAGGACGCGGACATCATGGCCCGCCAAAGCCGCCATCACCAGCTCGTACCATCAACATGATCATTGGCGGCGGCAATGACTCTTCTATCAACAGCGTAAAGTTTACCACAACCCACAAACTCAAGCGGCCGATCACCTGCGAACGGTATGGTGGACACGGAGAGAGTATCATCTTCGACGAGTCAGATGTCGACGGTTTCACTTTTCCTCAGAAAGATGCCCTGTTTATTACTTTACGAATTTTAGATACCGATGTCAAACGCATCACGATAGACGATGGAAGCAGTGCATGCATTATCCATCCCTGAGTCCTTACCCAAATAAGGCTCGAGGATAAAATAGTGTCGTGCTGCATCACATTAACCAATTTTAATAATGCAGTTGAGCGCACGTCCGGGGAAATTACACTACTCGTCTTGGACGGCGGCGTAACTCTGGATATAACATTCCAAATCATGGATCAGGCCACCACATACAATGCCATAGTGGGTCGACCATGAATACATCCAATGAAAGCCGTCCCTTCCAGCCTATACCAAGTGATCAAATTCCCAACACTATGGGGGATATTCAGTATACACGGAGATCAACACACATCCCGGGAATACTCTCGCATTGCCTTAGACAACACAATCACCCAACAATGAAAATACAAAGAAAAAGAGGCATAGCAATCAATAGGGTCGAGGTCGGAGCAAGATGAGATTGATGACATCGTCAAGGATCCCGACATGGTCGAAGCCACAAGATTGACCATAGAAGACCTCGACCCCATTCAATTGGACCTCAATGATCATAACAAGAAGGCTTATATTGGCTGCAAGCTTTGGGAACTAGGTAAATTCCGTCAATTCTTAACAACTAGCGCAGACTTATTTGCTTTCAACTATGGAGATATGCTAGGTATCCCAAAGGAAATCGCCACGTACACCCATTCCACCCAGTGAGACAGGTAAGGCATAAATTCAACCCCGCCATCAACGGCGCACTCGCGAGGATGTGGAAAAATTGTTAGAAAATGGTTTCATCAGGGAGTCAAAGTACCCCAAGTGGGTCGCCAACGTGGTGATGGTCAAAAAGATAAATGGGAAATGGCGGATGTGCGTGGATTTCCCAGATTTAAACAAAGCATGTACGAAGGATTCATTCCCATTACCTCATATCGACCAACTCATTGACGCAACGGCCGGGCATCAGCTACTAAGTTTCTTGGACGCCTACTCAGGCTATAAGCAGATCCTCATGGAAAAATAAGAACAGGAAAAGTCCATGTTCATCACCCACCAAGGAATGTATTGCTACAGGGTCATGCCGTTTGGACTAAAAAATGATGGGGCTACTTATCAAATATTGGTAACATGTATGTTCAAAGACCATCTCGGCAAAACAATGGAGGTATATATATACAACATGCTGGTCAAGTCCAAAAGGGGAGAAGATCACATCGATCGTTTGAAAGAAACTTTCGGCATACTCAAACGGTACGGAATGAAGCTGAACCTGGAGAAATATGCATTCGGGGTAGCCCCGGGAAAATTCTTGGGTTTACTGGTATCGCAGCGAGGGATCGAGGTTAAACCAGACAAAATCGAAGCTACTGAGGGGATACCAGAAATATTAACCACCAAAAAAATTCCAAAGGATGACTAGTCGCATCGCTGCCCTATCAAGGTTCATCTCGCAGTCGTCGGATAGGTGCCATAAATTCTTTGGCGTACTCAAGAATGACAATGGCCTCAAATGGACTTCCGAGTGCATCCTGGCTCTGCGAGAACTAAAGGCATACCTGTCATCACCGCCCTTGCTTTTGAAATCCAAACCTGGAGCAACTCTTCATCTATCTAGCCATATCTGAGGTTGCCATAAGTTGTCTTGATCCGCAAAGAACAAAGGTACACAATCTCCCATCTATTACATTAGCAAACCACTCGTCGACGCCGAGAAGAGGTCCCACACCTCAAAAATTTGGTTCCGGCCTTGGTCGTAGCTTCACGGAAGCTTAGACCATATTTCCAATGTCACCCCATCTCGATCGTCAGAACTTTTCCCCTAAGGAGAATTTCGCATAAACCCGAGCTATCAGGAAGGCTGGCCAAATGGGCCACCGAGCTAAGTGAGCACGATATTACGTACTAGCACAAGTGCTCACCGACTTCAGCGCAAAAATAATGCCTAAAGTTGAAAGGGAATCCACCCATACTTCCCTCGAAACACAAGACCTCTGGGTCCTGTACACCAATGGCACATCCACTGCATCAGGGTCCGGGCTGGGACTCGTGCTCTAGGTCCCAATAGGCGAAGTGATTCGCCAGTCCATAAGGTGCCCCGAATATGACTAACAATGAGGCCGAATATGAGGTTATAATTGCAGGGTTAAGGCTAGCACTCAAATATGGAGTGAAACGGTTAAAACTGCGTTGTGATTCCCAGCTCGTAAACAACCAAGTCACATGGACTTTCCAAATCAAGGAACAAAGACTGCAAAAATACCAGACCAAAATCTGCAAGCTACTGCCTGAGTTCGACTAATGTTAGCTCGATCAAATCCCATGAACATATAATACCGAGGCAGATGGCCTCACCAAATCAGTCACAGCTACCAAAAATATTGCGATCGGAGACAAAAGCATGGTCGATCTCCTCAACTCATCACTAGACCAAGTCGTGGTAAGAACCATAAACGTAACTTGGGACGGGCGCAATTGTATTTTCGCATACTTGTAGGATGACATTCTCCATGGCGACAAAAAAGAGGCCAAGAAACTAAGAATGCAAGTGGCCAGGTACAGTATTTTCTGTAGCAATCTGTACAAGAGGACCTACGACGGCCCTTTGGCGAAGTGCTTGGGTTCGAACCACACTCAGGGAGTCCTCGAAGAAGTCCACAAAGGCCATTATTGAGCTCACTCCAGCAATCGAGCACTGGTCAGATGCCTCATACGGGCGGGATATTATTAGCCCACCATGAAAAAGGATGTCGCAGACTTCGTAAGGAAATGCGAGCAGTGCTAAAAGTACTCCCCAATGATTCACCAAGAAGGCAAACATCTCCACTCAGTCACCTCCCCTTGGTCGTTTATCAAATAGGGAATGGACACCGTAGGCCCCCTTTTAGCAAGGCAAGGTAATTACGATTCCTTTTTGTTTTAACTGACCATTTCTCTAAGTGGGTGGAAGCAGAAGCATTCGCTTAAATACGGGAACATGAGGTAATCACCTTTATATGGAGAAACATCATCTGCCCGTTCGACTTTCCCAAATAAATCAACTGTGCAACGGACCCCAGTTCACAGGAAAGAAAATAGAAATTCTTCGAGAAATGGCATATCAAGAGGATAATCTCAACCCCATATCACCCCTCGGGTAACGGGAAAGCGGAGTCCTCCAATAAGTCAATATTAAACATCATGAAGAAGAAGGTCGAAGACGCCAAGGGACTGTGGCCGGAACTACTACCAGAAGTATTATCGGCCTACCGAACAACTCCGAAAACAAGCACAAGAGCGACGCCCTACTCTCTGGTCTACGGGACCGAGGTAGTAATACTAGTCGAGGTCGGAGAATCCAGCCTAAGGTACTCCCGTGAGAGCGACATGAGTAACGACGAGAGTAGAAGGCAGGAACTCGACGAAGTCAACGAACGAAGATATATGGCCTACATAATAATGGTCGCCCCAAAAAAAAGCAGAAGGCTATTACAACAAGAAAGTAAAGCTCAGGGCGCTCAAAGTCGAGAACTACGTACGGAAAGTTAAAACTCAAGCGAGCAAAGATCCAAGGAAGGCAAGCTGAGAACAAATTGGGATGGTTCGTACAAAATCAAAAACGAAGCAAATAAGGGTTCATTCCAATTAGAGACAATGGATGGAAAGCCACTACCAAACAATTGGAATATTAGCCACCTCAAATACTTTAACTACTGAGAGAAAAAGCATCCCCCAAACCGTACTCTTTTTTCCCTCGCTTGAATTTTGTCCCATTGGGGTTATCTCAAGGAGGTTTTTAACTAGGAGGCAAAGGGAATGCTTTGAGTCAAATTACGCGAAGGTAGGGCCGTGGTTACTATTTCATTGCCCAATCTCTTAATACTCTCTAGATTTGTAAGGCCCCGTAAAATGCCGCTAAGAAATTTAAGGTCATGTGGCGCCGAGGTAGACTAATGAGTGTGAAAGGTTGTAGAAATTTTTTCCAGGCGAGCTTGCGATCCGCGGCTCGACTTTTTGGGTTGAAGAATGCACTAAATTGTTGATAAATAATTTTGGCTGAAGAAGGCGATTATGCGATAAATTTCGCGATCGCAGAACTATTCCACGGACCGCATAAGCATCGCAGAGTGAAATAGAAATCGAGCCAAGTTTGAGGACCATTATGCGATCGATTATGTGGCCGCATAATCATTTTATGGATCGCACAACTCATCACATAACCAATATGAAAATTTCTGGAGGTGGTTCTGCGGTCCAATCTGTGGTCGTAGAATTGGTATGCGGACGCAGATCTGTCACATACTGGTCCAGACCAGTTTAGTTTTGGGCATCAATTGTGATGTCTATTTTGTGGGCTGCATAGCAGTTCCGCGGTCCATTCTGCGATCGCTGACCTGAGTTCGGAGGGTCCATTTTCTATTTTTATAACCCGACCCCATTTTGATAATAGCCATTGGGGCTCGTTTTGAAGGCAAAAATATGATTTTTTTAGAGAGAAGTGAAAGTGTTCTAGAGATAGAGGAGGAATCCCAAGTGCTTTGTTCATCAAGATCTCGTCCAAGCTTTGAAATCCAACAAGAAAATCTCATAAGATCTTCACCCAAGAGGTAAGGTTCTAACCCTAGTCTTCAATTTTGAGTTTGGGTAGAAGATGGGTAACTGAGAGAGTGATTCTTGGGTATGAAAGTTGTTATTTATGCATGCATATAGCTATAAGGATGGTGGGAAGGTAATTGAGCTAATATGAGTAAACTCTTGGTATTGAATTGATTGTGGAGTGAAGGAAATCTTGTAGAAGAACCTTATGGTCAAATTTGCACACCTAGTGTTTGATAAAATGCTCAAATGAGCTGAAACCATGAATACCTTTCTAATGATGGTTCAATTTTGTTATGTTTCTAAATAAATTTAAGTTGCTAGGAAATCCAAAACATTGTAGTAATCTAAAGAAAGCTCAAGCAAGGTATGTTGGCTAAACTACTCTCTTAGAATCGAATTCCATGATGTTCCCATAAGTTTCAAGTATAGTTGGCTCAAGTTCCTTATTCCCATGTTCCGAGTTGTTCCCAATAAATTCAATTGCCCTGAGTAAGCAATGTATT